GCTTATAAAGTAAAAAACTACAGCATTTTACAACACATGCCCCATGTGGCCACCACTCCAGCCAACGAAGCTGTTGATGACTCTCCTACACATACCAACATGGATTGCAAAGCTTCTGATGAAGCTATCCACTTAAAATTGAAGAACATCTGAGAATTTGTCTGACACTAGTTTTACTTCTCTAGATAGATTTTAGTCACGCCATGGACAATTGAACAACTTCCTTCGCCAGATTTGATTGTGCATGTAGAGGAGAAGTGGCCACATTGGACATATGTTGTAAAGTGCTGTAGTTGTTGACTCCAGAGGCAGATTATCATGAAACTTTCACAACAAAATTCATATTGAATGAACTGAATAATTCTGAAGTTTTAAGGCAGAATATGCAGGATTGACAAAGTTAATTAACTTTTCTTCGGTCCTGTTTTTTGGACACCCTGTACCAGTAGAATGATACTAGGCTAATGGTATACTTGAATTTAATCGATTGCAGACCTATAATTTAAGAATGAATTTTCAATGATAACACCTAAGATTGTTCAAACCACCAGAAAGCCAAGCCAGGATATATCATACATTATTTGTCTAAGCTAGAAAACTAATATTGGTACAAATATGTTCATAAATAAGAAATTATAGGGGTCTTCCAAGGGTATACCTATAACTTATCAATTTTAGACATCATATTTCATGAATTTTTATATTTGAACATGCTAGAAAGCTTAAATCTTCCTAAAACTTAGCTAAAATAAGTTTTATATTTTAGATTTATTCTAAAATGCCAAATATATGAACACAGAGGAATAAATGTTAAAGCAATAGGGGTCAGTTATAGTCACACATAAAATCAGTCCCAGCTAAAATGTCATTTTTTCTTAAATTCACTAATTTTTTTCAAGGCAATTATCAAAGGAATTACTTTGATTCTTGCAGGATTAGTAGACCAGGTATTAAGACTTTTACATGGATTTTTTTAGCATCCATCATTGTCTAATAAAAAAGTTATGACACGAAAAGTAAAAAATGGGTCATAAATTTGCCCCCTGGGGTACATACTTTTTGCTTTTATTCAAATTTCTTAAGTGTAATCCGTATCATTCATACTTTAAATGTTTATTTTATACAATGTCCATGTATTTCACTTACAAAAACCATAAAATCAAAGTTATTTTAGGTTGAAGAATTTTTTCCCCCTGATAGGGGTGAATTTTGGGGGTAGGGGGGACTAACATGGTATTTTAAGGGTTAAATAATCATATTTCAGCTTGCCAACATGTTTTTTTGGATTCAGCATAAAAAGTTACATAAGAAACACTTGTCAGAACACTTTTAACACTAAACGCCTACCACATTTCCTCTAGATGAAAATGCACCTTGTCTATACTATTTAGCTTGGAAATATTGCTGATATAGTTTTAATGTGATTTTAGGAGATTAAATGTTCTACTGAGGAACTTTGATTATGTTCAATTTTCTATGATCTTTAACTCTCTGAAAAAGGTCGGGCTAAATTCTCATTGAGACGATGTTAAAAATCTTAATGTTGACTTCCTAAATGTTGAATTCTTTTGATTGTCATGAATTTAAGGTTCACACAAAATCTGAAGATCATCTAGTTTCAAACACAATCTGAATCTCATTAAGTTTGATGCAAAAGCAGTTTTACTTTAATCCAAAATAACAAATATGGTAAATCAATATGTGTCTATGGTAGATGCTAGCATGTAGTCCAACCAGCACAAGTGCTGCCATCTACCTATCCATTCATCAGTTTAGCACCTAATAAGGTCAGTACTCATGGTAAAGCTTTTGTACCTTGTCTATGGTAAAAATAAATCAAACAGAAATGTTAACTTGACACGATTGGTAATGCCCACCTTGAAGGGTGTAGGGATAAAGGGAAGGGTCAGGATAACACTTATATAAAATATTTAAAGTGTCTAATAATGATAATGAACATATTACAATGTTACACAACATAAGTAGATGCTAATTAAATGTCAATTGTTGTTAGTATAATATGCATTTTTCATTTAATGCTGCAACAAGTACACACATACTAAAAAGTACCACGCCCACTTTTCCCTAAAAGCAGCTATGTGTGACTATATTTGATAAATGTTATTGATTTATAGGATCATTATGAACACTTTTCAGTGTTTAAATGTTAAAATATACATATTGATACAATTTTTGACAAAGTAGCAGCCATAAAATCCAAACAGATTTGCAAATATTTCACTTTGAGATCAAAAGGACACATTTGGGAGGGGGTCAAATTGAGAATAATTCAAGATTCAAGAAGAGAAGGTTTTTTGGGGGTAGGGGTATAAATTGGTCTGAGGGCCGTCTGCCACCCCTATAGAAAGTCCAACTACCCAGAAAGTGTCTAATTTCATCATACAGATGGTTTGAAATAGGTTGGAATGTGTAACCTTTCATGTAAGGAAGGATTTACAATTATCAGAGTGGGCCATAGTCTATAAACACCCTCGGGGCAGATCCCAGTCCAAATGGCAGACAAGTCATTTGGTATAGATTGTTTTTGATCTGAAATCGGAGGAATTTCCGATGCTGCGCTGCGATGGGAATCACAAAATAAGCATCGCGCATGTCGAGCTTCAAGAAGAAATCCTCTTTTTGAATCAGTTCTTTTAGCATTGGAAGCGTTTCCATTTTGAAATGTTTGTAAGTCACAAATGCATTTAGCGGTTTAAGATTTAGGACGGGTCTCATTGATCCGTCTTTCTTCTCCCTGAGAAATATATGACTCAGAAATTGAGCTTGATTTGGAAAATCTACCTTTTCGATTGCATTTTTTTCTAGTAAAGTGTATACCTCCTTTTCTATTTCTGGACTCAGCTTTGTCATATTGACATTTTGCCTTTGTACTGGTGTTTCTGAAAACTCCAGATGATAACCAGAGACGATGCCTAGAATTTCGAGATCGCTTGTTATTTTTTCCCAATTTGTTTGAAACAAAGCTAGCCTCCCCCTACTGGGATTGGGTGATTTGGTATTGGAAACATGTTTAATTGTTTCACCAATAGATGTACCTTTTTTGTATCGAGCTCCCATGGTTGAATTTGAACTAATACTTCTTTTTGATTTTGTGAAGAAGAAATGCACATACCTTTGTTTGGCATTGGTTCCTTGTCCACCAGTGTTGGTAGAATTTCTGCGTCCTCTGTTTGAGGAGCCATATGCTGTACTTCTGTTTCCTTTGTTGGAGTAGTTTGAATTGTTACCTCTTCTGAATTCCCCTCTACCTTGGTAACTGTTTGCGTTAGAGGGGTTTGAAAGCGCCTGTTTCTTTTTGGCAGCAACTTTTTTAAGGTTTCAATTTCTTTTGCTGCTTTACTTGAATTTATCAATTCTTTATAGACTTTATTGCCTATCAACTCATCTGTGTCCAAGTCTTTGCGAAAGTTTTTCTTGTTCTCTTTAATAAACTCTTTTGTGTCAGTTTTATTGTACCCGAACAAAGGGTTGAGAAAATTGTATCTTCTGTAATATGTTATCATTTGGCTAGATTGTCCTGCCAAGATTACAGTGGAGTCGAGCAGTTTTTTAATGTACTCGATGTCTAACTCCGCTGTATGTGAGCCCATGTCAATGAGATTCCATAATTTGGACAATGGTCCCATGATGTCACCAATTTTCTCTTGTACAACTTTCCACTGTTGGTCATAATTATTTTCATGTTTGTTAATTAGTTTGGTAATTTTCCTATTTTTTTTCAATGGTTTGAGACCCTTGGAAGTGGGCTTTGGACACTCATCTAAAATGTGTTTTTAACGTCATTTTTTGACATGAGTTCCTTACGCCAGTATTTGTAAACCACTTTCTCTTGGTTTTTGTCAAGATGGAATCTTTCCCTTTCTACCTCATGGAGAGGATCGAAACAACTTTGAGAGCATGAAGAGGATGCTGACTCATAGCTTGAAAAACTAGTATCAGTGTCAGAAGAGCTACTACTGCTACTGTCATAATCATACTTTGACTTGCGAGATGTTTTAGCTTTCTTTCTTCACTTGCTTCGTGAATGAGAGTGGGGTCTCTTTTTTGATTTGTTAGATCGTCTTTTGACATTATCAACTTTTGAATCATCTTTCTTAGGGATTTTGTAGTTATTCCAAGATCTTACAGAATGATTATCACCATCTGAGATGCTAGCAGGAGACTCATGACCACTGTTTTCACTAATAGAGTCAATATCCTTAGAACCACTTGGTCTTACTTCTTTCCCTGAAGTTGATTTCTTCCTTTGCTCCTTCACTGAGCTATCAGTTGTTGGCCCCTTGACTGGGCTATTTCCTTGACGTCCCTTAACTGGACTATTTTGTTTATCCATATTGAATAAATAAGTAGTTGTTGAACACTAATTCAAAGGAACAACTAAGTCCAAATGAGAAAAAAACGTCCATCTTTTTAGTTTTCGAGGCACGTGTAAAAATGAAAAATGAATCTCGTAACTAAGCGTGTGTCTTCGTCGACAGCCAGAAAGAATAAGGCCGAGGTTTACTGCATTACGTAGCTCATTAATTTGAATTCATTCATACGTAAAACGGCTGTTCACCTTGACCAATAGCATTGTAAGTTCTAACTTATGAGCGAGTGAGTGTGAAATTGAAGCTGAGCTAAACGGGTTTCGTTTGTCGTAAAATTGACCTCCTTTAACTACGCCATCTGGCGAATGAATCATTGTTTTCGTGTCATATGATTCGTTCTTTTGCGTCACGTGACCCACCTTTAGACCTTTTGCCACCTGTCGTATATTAATCGAATTAAAATGAAATTTTTCGATCCAAGAAGAAAATTTGCACAAAATTTATAAACTCCGCTTAACATAATCATTGTCACTCTATTGTCTTCTTGATGAGACACATCGGAACTTCGGATTCATAGCCATTCAACCAATACTGCCCGTTGTAATAAACAGATGAGTATTCATCTAAGATGTTTTAAAACGGTAAACATCAAGCAATAACATGTTATTTGCAGTTCTAAATTTTATTCTAATATTATTTTTGCACACTTAAATCGATTGTTAATGTTGCTTTATTCGGTTTCAAAAATGTTCTAACTTCCTAACGTTCGTGTTTTCACGTGTCCTGCCTTTTAGCTCATGTTCTATCCCCTGCTCCGATTTGAATTTCTCCATCTTCCTCTGCGATTTGAACTTCTCCATCTTCCTCTCCGATTTGAATTCCCCCATCTTCCTCTCCGATTTGAATTCCCCCATCTTCCTCTCTAGAAGAAATACGGCATCCAAGTTTGAATTGATTTAAACATTATTCACCGGGAGAGTTACAATTTTCAGAACTTTTTTCTAAGGATTGGTACATGTATGAATGTAAAATCAAAATGTACGAATGCATAGTATGTATATATTTCTACTTGAATGTTACAAAAAATTAAGTTATTCCTTTCAATTTACCCTGCGCCATTCGCTAATTCTTTCCAATTCGGGTTCCAATGACCTACAATAGCATTTGCTTTTGTCTCCCATTTGTGGGTCACACATACACGATGTACCGTCCTCACAAGCTCCTTTCTTGCATTTGGCACGACCGCCTCTCACTTCTGCACACTTCCTTCCCTCACGTATCTCTTTGCTTGAGCTACTCCTATCACTTCTTGGACATTGCTGGAAAATGATAATGCATGGAAACTCGCCTAATGATTCATCGCCTACACCGAGATATTTTAGGTAAACTGTAGCTTCATAGTATTCGTAATAAAGCAAAGGACATGGTTATCGTTTTGGATCTTATTTAACATTGGTGTTCATCTTGTAACAAGAACGGAATTGTTCTGTAAAATATTTTTCGCATGTGGAGAGAGATTGTGGATATTTAAGGGAATCAATTAAACTCAACGATACATATCGCTCTTTAAAGAGCAAAATGGTCACCGAGTAATTTCCCGGGCAAACCTACAATTAATCAGTTGTTGGCACTAGTGTGTTTAAGATTTTTATTTGAACGAATAAGCGGCTTTCCTTGAATATTGATGACGAGATTTGTCGAAAAAAACAAAATGGCCACCAATGTTTTTTTACACAGCGCGCCAGAAACCAAGTAAGATGTAACCATTTGTCCGCTAATACATTCGTAAAATTTTTAATTGAACAGACAAGTGGTTTTCCTGCTTTTGTATCTGCAAGATTTCCGCTAACTAATTTACTCAGCACGCCCAGTCTAATCAGACCTTTGCACTAGTCTGCGTTTGCATCTGTAAACATTTTCTAAGGAATGGGGCAAGCGTTTTTCCTCGAATTTTGATGATTATAGTTATGATACACAGTAATGACACACAGTAATGAATATCGCACCTTGAAGAGCATAATGGTCACCATATGTTATTTAGATCAAGTTCGCCCAAAACATAAATAGTTGTTGGCACTAGTCTGCTCTTGCATGTATATAAATTTCAAGTTTAACAGTGTTCCTCGAATGTTGATATAAAAATTAGAATAAAAATAGATCTGTCTGCTGTTACGTGTGTAAAAATTCACGGGTTTCTGTTTTGATGATGAGATATATGAAAAATCAAATGGGAGATTTGTCAGAATTCGAAATGACCGCCATGTATTGCAATAACCCCGCATACCCAAAACCTATTTAGAGGTAATCAGATGTTGGCAGTTGTCTGCTCTTGCATCTATAACAATTTTAAGTTGGAATGGCTTTCTTGAAATTCTAATGCCAAAGATTATTGAAATATTCAAAATTCAAAGTAACGTATCCAGCATGCCTTAAACCATTGATTAACATTTGACTTATTTTGGCTCGCCTACCTGATACACGGGCCACCATAATTGACGCACAATATATGTACACTGTATTATCATTTGATCACAGAATGTATTAAGGGAACAGTACATCTGTAGTTTGTTTTTCAACTTGTTCGTTTCTTTTTTTTGTTTTCTATGTGAATCTATGAAGTATGCTAATACTAAAATGCTGCTTGTATAGTTTACACATGCTCAAGTGATATAGGACCTACCAAATGTAGTCTCAAATTCATAACGAGGGAGAAAGTTACGTTTTGCAGTTTTTGTGGTTTCATCTTATTTAAAGTTTTAGTTCATGTGGTTCTATTGTTGACTTGACCATCTTTATATTTCATTTTATAGGCACAAGTAGAACTTGTTTTTAAGAAAACCCGGGGCATTTATGTGGAAACTGCGCAGTTCTCGGCACTTTCAACAGAACGCTCCAAAATGCTGAATAATGTACTCGGACAACATTTTGGAGACAACGTGTTTTCAAACGGATGACAAAAATTGTAACCAGAATATGAAATTGAAGGTACAAAGGACGAAAGTCTTTTAAAATAACTCTACCTGTGAAGCTTGAAGTAAGTAGCTATAGCTTCAAGGTACTTGAGTTAATTGTGACGTTATAATTACCAGTGGCGCTGCTGTCGTTGTTATCGTTGCAGGGGGTGTCGTTAATCTACAATAGCATTTACTTTTGTCCTTCTTTGGTGGGTCACATATACACGATGTATCGTCCTCACAGACTCCTTTCTTGCATTTGACACGACCGCGCTTCACTTCTGCGCACTTCCTTCCCTCACGTATCTCTTTGCTTGAGCTACTGATGTCACTTCTTGGACACAGCTGTTGAAAGATATGATATATGTTAAGCTATGCCATACCATACTCTTATTAGATATAGCAGGGCATACTCAAAATATTAAGACTTCAGTCAAGACATAATATTATGGTAATACTTATACTTTCTAGGCTTTGCAAAAGGCACAGGCTGACCAATATCGTACCAAAAACATAGCAGCGTGGGCTTAATGACCCAGAAAGCAAGATGGCTGCCAAAAAATAAATAGTTCAAGAACTTCATACCACGTAACGTGTGTAAACATTTGAAGTAAATCCGTTAAGTCCTGGAATCGCGATGACAAGATTTATCTAAGAACTTCCAAAATCGGCACCATAATGTAAGATGGCTGCCGTTAAATTAATTAGTTCTAGAACTTCTTACCATGTAACATGTGTGAAAATTTGAAGGAAATCCGTTCAGTGGTTTCCTGAAATCACGGTGACAAAATTTATCGAAAAACTTCAAAGTTGGCCGTCAGAATACAAGATGGCCACCGAAAGAACTAGAACTTCTTAGCATGAAACATATGTGAAAATTCGAAGTAAATAGGTTAAGTGGTTTTCCTGGAATCACGATGACTTAATTTCAAAAGCCTTCCAAGATGGCCGACAGAATGCAACATGGCCACCGAAAGATTAATCAGCTCTAGAACTTCCTATCATGTAACATGTGTAAAATTTGAAGTAAATATATTCAGATGTTTTTTTGGAATCGCGATGACAAGATTTATCTAAAAAATTCTTTAACAGAATTGTATTCCGTTCTGTTGTGTAAAGGTTAGCACTCTGGACTCTTCATGTCAAGATCCTAGGTTCAATCCCAGCTTGTGGCGACTGGAGCCAGCCTGAGCTAACTAGTGCACCAGAGCTGGCTTGAACTGTCTGTGGTTCTAGCCAGGATAAAGATACCCGTTCCTGTCAAATTAAGACGGGGAGCTGTTTCTATCTTAGGATATCAAGTAACATTATCCTACCGCACATATATGCCCTATGGTGTCTGGTGTATGTTGTGAGACATGTAACTCACATGAAAATGAAAAACAGATCTTTATTTTATTTTTGTCCAAATTTTAGCTATTTGAATTTTGCATACATGCTCTCTATTGTAAATGTTTATATGGGGACATGAAATATTGGAAGGTGATTTGCCCCAAGCTTGTCTAATCCTTGTATATTTGTTTGTATTTATGAAATAAACCTATTGATTAAAAAACTTCCAAAATGGCCGCCAGAATGCAAGATGGCCGCCGAATAGTTAATCAGCTCTAGAATTTCCTACCATGTAACATGTGTGAAAATTTGAAGTAAATCCGTAAAGCGGATTTCCTGGAATCGCGATGACAAAATGTATCACAATGTAACTTGTATGAAAATTTGAGGTAAATCTGTTGAGTGGTTCTCCCGAATCGTGATGACAAGAAATTGAGACGTCGCCTGCCGCCCGCCTGTTTCACGTCAAGCTGATGACAATATCGTACCTTTTTAGGTATGATAAAAGACGAGTTATTAATTTTGAAGTTTCAAGTTCTGCCACTTGATATGCTACAAGATATCGGATTTGTTTTTTATCGAACTCCAAATCTTTTCACTGTTCACCTTTTTGGTGGATCCCGGCCATGGCATTAATGGTTGAGAAATGGAGATCGATACCAGTCATAGTTTTCTTTAGATGACCATTGTGAAATATTAAGTTGCAGATGGATGTTAAACCTTTGATATGCTTATGAACTTCAAGATAAGATTTGTCTCTCCCACATCATTTGAGATTAGATTTTGTCTGTCCCACATCATTTGAGATAAGATTTTGTCTGTCCCACATCATTTGAGAAAAGATTTTGTCTGTCCCATATCATTTGAGATAAGATTTTGTCTGTTCCACATCATCTGAGATAAGATTTTGTCTGTCCCACATCATTTGAGATAAGATTTTGTCTGTCCCACATCATTTGAGATAAGATTTAGTCTGTCCCACATCATTTGAGATAAGATTTTGTCCGTCCCACATCATTTGAGATAAGATTTTGTCTGTCCCACATCATTTGAGATAAGATTTTGTCTGTCCCACATCATTTGAGATAAGATTTTGTCTGTCCCACATCATTTGAGATAAGATTTTGTCTGTCCCACATCATTTAGGATAAGATTTTGTCGGTCCCATATCATTTGAGATAAGATTTTGTCTGTCCCACATCATTTGAGATAAGATTTTGTCTGTCCCACATCATTTGAGATAAGATTTTGTCTGTCCCACATCATTTGAGATAAGATTTTGTCTGTCCAACATCATTTGAGATAAGATTTTGTCTGTCCCACATCATTGGAGATAAGATTTTGTCTGTCCCACATCATTTGAAATAAGATTTTGTCTGTCCCACATCATTTGAGATAAGATTTTGTCTGTCCCACATCATTTGAGATAAGATTTCGTCTGTCCCACATCATTTGAGATAAGATTGTGTCTGCCCCACATCATTTGAGATAAGATTTTGTCTGTCCCACATCATTTAAGATAAGATTTTGTCTGTCCCACATCATTTGAGATAAGATTTTGTCTGTCCCACATCATTTGAGATAAGATTTTGTCTTTCCCACATCATTTGAGATAAAATTTTGTCTGTCCCACATTATTTCACATTATTATCCTGTATGCATACTCTATAGCATCTACAACTATTTTTGATCTTTTGAATATTGACAGTCAATATTATTCTTCAGCATGTACATATATTGTAATGCCTTTAGTAAATTGCAGTTGAATGCAATATCTATTTGTTTTATTTTTTACTTGAATGTAAACAATTAAAGAATATCAGACACATAACATTGAAAAACTTGAAAACCTATTATTGTTGGATGCACGTTTGGCCCTACTCTGCTGCATCAGTACAAATAAATCCTATTAATATATACGTTGTCTCGGATTATGATAATAGTGCCTGAATAGTATGAGGGGGAATAAGACTACTCCAGTAAAACCGTTATAAATATTCACAAATAAATGAAAAAATTGCAATACAGAGTAAACCTAGTGTAATCAATAGCCATTGGTAAGTAAAACAAAATATCAAAAATCTAGAAAAATCTAAGTAGTGGACAACCTTAAAATCACCATTTATACCCCTTGGGGTAATTTTATTAGGGGGTACTATTATAATCATTAATAATTTCTGTTCTATTACTTCAATCACTATAAAATCTTCAGGGATCGTGCACCTATGTATAGTGAGTTGTCACAACAATTTTGACATTAATTGGTCAATTGGTTACCATAGCAACACAATTTAATTGCTCAAAATCTTTAATATTTCAGGTAAATCCGAAGCTTCTTATAATAACAGATGTTGCCAGTTCTCTTCAAATCATTTGAAAATGAACATTAATGTACCCTAAAAGCATATCTGGGGAGTGTTTAATAAGATTACATGATAAATATGATGAATTATATTATATCTTTGACTCTATTCTATCAGGTGACTACCTCTCTATCTACTCAAAAGTGGGCGTGGCTCCTTTCAGTGATAATTTCCTAAAACAGTTATTTTTACAAAATCAGTCACCGTTATATTCATAGAGCTCATGGATACTGATGGTAATTTTTAATATAGTGAGTCTGTACATGATTGGTTAAGGGGTTGCCATAATAAACGCAAATAGTGTAGTGCATATGTTCTGAAAATATTTATTTTATAACTAGACTAAACATGGAATATGATTCAACACACAGCGTATATGGTGCGCTCCAATACCAGAACATATCATCCATTAGCCTAATATGGTATAACCTGAGACCATAGAATAGTTCAGAAGAGCCTAAGTTGTTCCAGCTTACAGAGTATATAGATGGTACAGCCTCCAGAATATAAGATTAGTGCAGTCTCAAGAATCTAATATAATACAGCCTCTAGAGTGTAATATGTATTCAGCATCCAGAGTCCAAGATGATACAACATTCAAAATCTAAGATTGCTATAGCAGTCAGAGCCTAGAATGGGTACAGCCTCCATAAGTCTAAGATTGTACAGCCTCCAGACCCTTAGATGGTACGGCCTGCAGATATAACATGGGATCACTCTCCAGAGTATAAGATGGCACAGCTTTCAGAGGCTATGATTGCTATAGCATTCAGAGCCTAGGATGGGTACAGCCTCCATGAGTCTGAGATGGTACAGCCTCCATGAGTCTAAGATGACACAGCCTCCAGACCCTTAGATGGTATGGCCTCCAGATATGACATGGGATCAGTCTCCAGAGTCTAAAATGATACAGCCTTCAGAGGCTATGATTGCTATAGCATCCAGATGCTAAGATAGGCACAGTCTTCACGAGTCTAAGATGGTACAGCTCCCAGATATAGCATTGGATCAGTCTCCAGAGTCCAAGATAATAGATCCTTCAGATCATTTGATTGCTATAGCATTCAAAGCCTAGGATAAGTACAGCCTCCACGAGTCTACGCTGTACAGCCTCCGACCCTTAGATGGCACAGCCTCTCGATATAACATGGGATCAGTTTCTAGAGTCTAAGATGGTACAGTCTTCAGAGCCTAAGATGGTTCAGTCTCCAAGGTTGAAAATGGTATAGCCTACGACTAATATTAATTAGAATCGAATATGGCCTCAAGAGTTTAATTGGTACATCTACTTCTATGATGGCTACAACCTTCGATTACACGAATCTAAGATGGCCCAGCCTCTATAAACTAAAATTGATACAGCCGACAGAGTCTAATATGGTACAACCTCCAGAGTACATGTATAATATGAATTCAGCCTCCAGAGACTAATATGGTATAGCTTTAGAGTATAATTTGGACTCAGCCTCTAGAGTACAAAGATAGTGCAGTCACAATAGTCTATGATTTCTATGAGTCAGGAGTCAAAGATAGGTACAGCCTTCAAGAGTCTAAAATAGTACAGCCTACAAGAGTCTGAGATTGTATAGCCTCCAAGAGCCTAAGGTGATACAGCCTCCATAGTCTACAATGGATTCAGCCCCCAAGAGTTTAGGACAATATAGCATCCAGAGTCTACAATGGGTTAAGCCTCCAGAGCCTTTGATGAGTTCTGGGAACAGCCTTCGAGAGAAGATGGTACACCTTCCAGATGCAGAGTCTATGATGAGTACAGCTTCCAAGATACTAAGATGGTACCGCCTCTCCAGAGCCTATGATGGATGTAGCCTCCAAGAGTCTAAGATGGTACAGCCTCGAGAGTCTTAGAGAGGTTAGCCTCTAGTGTTTAATGGGTACATCCTCCAGAGTCTACAATTGGTACAGCATTCATAATCTAAGATTGATACAGCCTACATACAGTAGTCTACGTAAGTTGATGCATCTTCTAGAGTCTAAGATGTCAAGAATCACCATTTTGTCACATATAACACCAATATGTGATTAATAAATGGATCTAAGATGGTACAGCCTCTAGAGTCTTAGAGAGTTTAGCCTCTAGTGTTTAATAGGTACATCCTCCAGAGTCTACGATGGGTACAGCATCCATAATCCAAGATTGATACAGCCTACACATAGTCTAAGTTGATACATCTTCTAGAGTCTAAGATGTCAAGAATCACCATTTTGTCACATGTAACATCAATCTGTGATTAATAAATGGATTTAAGATGGTACAGCCTCTAGAGTCTACATGGTTTAGCCTCTAGCGTTTAATGAACATCCTCCTAAAATGGGTACAACATCCATAATCTAAGATTAATACAGCCTACAGAGTCTAAGATAGAAGAAGGTACATCTTCTAGAGTCTAAGATGTCAAGAATCACCATTTTGTCACATATAACACCAATCTGTGATTAGTTAATGGGTCAGGAAATGCTTAGACAGACAAGCGGGCAGACGGACAAACAGACAAACATTTAAACAAACAGCATTATTAGTTGTGTTATCATAGCAAACGCATATGAATATTATCCAAACTTGTATTTGTTAAAAAAGATCATACACTAAAACAGTTCTTAAGGATGAATGTAATAAACAATTTGTTAAGGAACAAGAATTACCTAAAATGACCTCTAATAACGATTTAAATACATAATGTTGTGTTACTATGACAACCAATTGACAAAAGATGATTAGACACACCATAAAAGAAAATAACATACTCTTGTAAATATGATTCTGTCAATATGAAATTATTTGGAATTGTAATAACAAAAAGTGCCACGCCCACTTTGTGGTAAATTGAGCAGTAGTTATCAAACATGCGCCAGATATGTCATCCTATTCATCTATTTATCATGTTATCTTGTTGTAAACTCCTTCAATATGTATTAAGCTCAACTTTGTGTTCATTTTGAAAAATTGAAAATGACAACAGCCTTAAGAAACCTACTATCTTAATGACAACCTATCATCTGTTTGTAGGGAAACAGTAGATTTATCCTTAATATTTACAATGTTTTGCAATTAAATTGTGTTGCCATAGTAACCAATTGACTGCATGACAACTAACTATATATGGATGCATAATACCTGAAAACTTGAATGTGATTAGGGGCACCCAACAGAAAATATAAATGCTTATCATAGTACCCCTCATAAAATAAGACCAGGGGGTACAAATAGTGATTTTTACATGTTTTCCACAACTTAGATTTTTCTAGATTTTTTGATATGTCTTTTAACTCATCAATATGCATTTGTTGCACTAGGTTTAATAAGTATTGCAATTTTTCATTTATTTTTGATGTTTTTACTGGAGTGACACTGTTTCTCTTTACGCTGAATTATGATTTAGTATAATTGGGGTTTTTCTTATGCCTGGTGTACTCTTAGATGTTTTATTTTTCTTACTGTTTTACTGTACCATGTTCGGTGTTTTCCCGTAGGCACAATCAAGATATTTTAGTAAGGGTTGACGTTATAGTAATTACCTGTGGTGTCGTCGGCACAGGTGCTGGCGTTGTTGACGTCGGGGCTGTTGTTGTTGTCGCTAAATATAATATTTAAATGATACAATATCCGGCATAAGAATGTAAATGTATAAATAAATTGTAATGTTATTACCAATTCATCGATTTACGTATTTGTAATATTTATTAATCCAGATTAGCCAAGACCTTATGATTTTTGACATTTGAGAATTTAAATTCCAATTTCTGCTGCTTTTAAAGTTTAAATCTAATATAATTCAAACAATCTTGACCATTCGCCAACCCTCTAAAATATCAGATAGTCTTGCAAGGCCACAGAGAGATCAATGAAATTTTATCTAATGAAGTTATCCTTCCACATTTAACTTAGTTTGACTAATGGGTTTCACACTACACAATCAAAACTTCGGAAATGTCCTTACATTATCGAGCGGTAGCACAATGTGATCGGTTTACATAATCTTCAACAATTCTGTATTTAAACCTCGGTTACATTTGATCTGTGGCATCCGTACGGCGGCCGTAGCTTCCCAAAATCGAGTGCAATATGCAGCATAAAATAAGGAATAAGCAGTTTGGTGTAAATTCTCTACTTCGATTTTGTGAGCCTACGGCCGCCATACTCCCGCCGTAAAGCAATGTGACTAGGGCTTAACAAATAATAGACCATAAAGTGATCATATAACATAGGGTTTAACAAATAATAGATCATGGGGGTAGGTACGAAAAATTTTGAACGGAATGCGTGACATATATGCAATTCGCGTGAAAAGTCCGAACGAAATGCGTACATTTTTTTTCCGGCGTTCGTATTTTTGCTGTGAAGACGATCTTTTTTAGAATTTTTTCTACAGAAATATTTTTGCTTGACAATTACCAGGTAAAATGCGTATTTGCGTGACATTTTTTGTCATTGTGCATTTGGATGGCAATTATTCGTTCCTTGTGCGCATTGATCAATGTCAGCTGAAATTGAATTTCATGATAAGATCATTTCGAGATAAGATCATCGTTTAAGATAATTGTTTGTTATTTTGTACTTAGGTAAACAAATACCACGACATAGCTTTTATAACACGAGGTCTCAATCTCAATTTAAATAACACTTAGGGCCTTACGGTCCGAGTTGCAAGAATAAAGAAACAAATGAAAATATGAATTTTCACGCAAAGGAAGAAGTGGAATATACACAAGTGACACAACCCCCATGGATGAATGCTATTCTCGAAATTGGTAAACAAATTGCCGATTTAACAGTAGTAACATCAAAGATACAAAAAGACCAAGACGAAATGCGAACTTTCATGTTACAAAACATTTCGAAACATGTTCAAGCCTTGCCATCAATTTTATCAATTTTAAAACATTTCTAAATTAAGTGGAATAGGGCATACAATGTGTCACAGTTTCAAGCAGATTTTAGTACTTTCTGACCAATTGTATCTTCAGACTTCATTTCATGATTATGTAATACTGACCTACTTTTTATTTAAATAAGTGTTTAACCTTCTAATTGTGTTAACATATTCTTGATCAGTGGTCGAAAAAAGTGAAATGTGGATATCACTAAAAGTTTGGATTCTAGCCATGATTCTTTCATATTCTATCGTATTCGGGGATTCCCCATTACGTCATCTCCCGCATTATCTCCAATCAAATTGCAGGATGTGATCAGGTGAACAAACATGAGCACGTGCTCTCTCAGAGCTGCGTATAAGCAAAGTAAAATTTGAAATGGTAAAAATGGCGGAAATGGCGTTAACATCAGTTCAATATCATCATTTTAAACCTACGGTAATACTGTTAAAGTTACTCGATCCAAACTTGTAGAGAATACTCATAAAAATTCAGCGAACATTAGGAGATTCAATTCAATGGCAAATGAGGCCTGTTTATAAAATTTGTTTTAAAACGTGCCAATATGAAAGGTCATCTTTATAAAATCTCCCCCCTTGATTCTAGCCATAAACGTGCTCTCTCAGAGCTGCGAATGTGCAAAGTAAAATTTGAAATGGTGGAAATGGCGTTAACATCAGTTTTAATATCACCATTTTAAACCTACGGTAATACTACTAGAGTTACTCGATCCAAACTTGTAGAGAATACTCATAAAACTACAGCAAACATTAGGAGATTCAGTTCAATGGCAAATGAGGCCTGTTTATAAAATTTGTTTTCGAACGTGCCAATATGAAAGGTCATCTTTGGGAAATCTCCCCGCCCTGGATTTTAGCCAATCAATTTGACTTACGTTGACATAGTGTACCATTTCCGGTGTAGCCTGGATTACAATTACACGAGAATGATCCTTCGGTGTTCATACACATGGCATTACTGTCGCAGTTGTTTGTGCTGCCTTGAGCACATTCATCATTATCTGTACAATTGACACCGTCTCCAGAGTATCCTGGATTGCAAGCACAATCAAAACTTCCATCTGTATTTGTGCAACTTGCATTTGGATGGCAATTATTCGTTTCTTGTGCGCATTCATCAATGTCAGCTGAAATTGAATTTCATGATAAGATCATTTCGAGATAAGATCATCGTTTAAGATAATCTCAATTTAAATAACACTTAGGGCCTTACGGTCCGAGTTGCAAGAACAAAGAAACAAATGAAAATATGAATTTTTACACAAAGGAAGAAGTGGAATATACACAAGTGACAAAACCCCCATGGATGAATGTTATTCTCGAAATTGGTAAACAAATTGCCGAATTAACAGTAGTAACATCAAAGATACAAAAAGACCAAGTTGAAATGCGAACTTTCATGTTACAAAACATTTCGAAACATGTTCAAGCCTTGCCATCAATTTTATCAATTTTAAAACATTTCTAAATTGAGTGGAATAGGGCATACAATGTGTCACAGTTTCAAGCAGATTTTAGTACTTTCTGACCAATTGTATCTTCAGACTTCATTTCATGATTATGTAATACTGACCTACTTTTTATTTAAATAAGTGTTTAACCTTCTAATTGCGTTAACATATTCTTGATCAGTGGTCGAAAAAAGTGAAATGTGGATATCACTAAAAGTTTGGATTCTAGCCATGATTCTTTCATATTCTATCGTATTCGGGGATTCCCCATTACGTCATCTCCCGCATTATCTCCAATCAAATTGCAGGATGCGATCAGGTGAACAAACATGAGCACGTGCTCTCTCAGAGCTGCGTATGCGCAAAGTAAAATTTGAAATGGTGGAAATGGCGTTAACATCAGTTCAATATCATCATTTTAAACCTACGGTAATACTGTTAAAGTTACTCGATCCAAACTTGTAGAGAATACTCATAAAAATTCAGCGAACATTAGGAGATTCAATTCAATGGCAAATGAGGCCTGTTTATAAAATTTGTTTTCAAACGTGCCAATATGAAAGGTCATCTTTAGAAAATCTCCCCCCCCTTGATTCTAGCCATAAACGTGCTCTCTCAGAGCTGCGAATGTGCAAAGTAAAATTTGAAATGGTGGAAATGGCGTTAACATCAGTTTAATATCAACATTTTAAACCTACGGTAATACTATTAGAGTTACTCGATCCAAACTTGTAGAGAATACTCATAAAACTACAGCGAACATTAGGAGATTCAGTTCAATGGCAAATGAGGCCTGTTTATAAAATTTGTTTTCGAACGTGCCAATATGAAAGGTCATCTTTGGGAAATCTCCCCGCCCTGGATTTTAGCCAATCAATTTGACTTACGTTGACATAGTGTACCATTTCCGGTGTAGCCTGGATTACAATTACACGAGAATGATCCTTCGGTGTTCATACACATGGCATTACTGTCGCAGTTGTTTGTGCTGCCTTGAGCACATTCATCATTATCTGTACAATTGACACCGTCTCCAGAGTATCCTGGATTGCAAGCACAATCAAAACTTCCATCTGTATTTGTGCAACTTGCATTTGGATGGCAATTATTCGTACCTTGTGCGCATTCATCAATGTCAGCTGAAATTGAATTTCATGATAAGATCATTTCGAAATAAGATCATCGTTTAAGATAATTGTTTGTTATTTTGTACTGAGGTAAACAAATACCACGACATAGCTTTTATAACACGAGGTCTCAATCTCAATTTAAATAACACTTAGGGCCTTACGGTCCGAGTTGCAAGAATAAAGAAACAAATGAAAATATGAATTTTTACACAAAGGAAGAAGTGAAATATACACAAGTGACAAAACCCCCATGGATGAATGTTATTCTCGAAATTGGTAAACAAATTGCCGAATTAACAGTAGTAACATCAAAGATACAAAAAGACCAAGACGAAATGCGAACTTTCATGTTACAAAACATTTCGAAACATGTTCAAGCCTTGCCATCAATTTTATCAATTTTAAAACATTTCTAAATTGAGTGGAATAGGGCATACAATGTGTCACAGTTCCAAGCAGATTTTAGAACTTTCTGACCAATTGTATCTTCAGACTTCATTTCATGATTATGTAATAATGACCTACTTTTTATTTAAATAAGTGTTTAACCTTCTAATTGCGTTAACATATTCTTGACCAGTAGTCGAAAAAAGTGAAATGTGGATATCACTAAAAGTTTGGATTCTAGCCATGATTCTTTCATATTCTATCGTATTCGGGGATTCCCCATTACGTCATCTCCCGCACTATCTCCAATCAAATTGCAGGATCCGATCAGGTGAACAAACATGAGCACGTGCTCTCTCAGAGCTGCGTATGCGCAAAGTAAAATTTGAAATGGTGGAAATGGCGTTAACATCAGTTCAATATCATCATTTTAAACCTACGGTAATACTGTTAAAGTTACTCGATCCAAACGTGTAGAGAATACTCATAAAAATTCAGCGAACATTAGGAGATTCAATTCAATGGCAAATGAGGCCTGTTTATAAAATGTGTTTTCAAACGTGCCAATATGAAAGGTCATCTTTAGAAAATCTCCCCCCCCCTTGATTCTAGCCATAAACATGTTATGTTATGTTATGTTATATTTATTTTCATATTATAATTATTACAATTTGAATAACAGGGTTTGCACAAGACGCTTGGCGTATACTGTGCA